AATTTTCCAACACTGACAATTTTTTTCATTTGGTTTTTGATAGCAATCTAGCGTAGATTTTTTTTATATATGATAGCTAAAGCCATTTTGTGTTAAAAACACATGGTCCTACAACAAGCACCAAAGTGCCAGACACTGTAACTTTGAATTTAAGTGTGTCAGATACACAAACACCAGCAAGAACACTGGTGATTTAGTGGTTTGGTGATTGGTGAAGTTCCTTTCCTGTGTTTATACCAATTGACATAAAAACCTGAACTAACCTGTAAAGTTTTTGCTCAGTTTGGTTACTGTTGCCAATAGTTCTCCTCTATTGCTCAATAACTCAATAAAGCCATCATGGAAATCGAAGGATAACTTGTGCTCCCATACAACCAGTAGTTTAAATATATCCCACCTCATAATTTTGAGTTCTTCTATTGTTTCACTTTTAGCAAAAATATCAAACTGACTCAAACAGAATAGGGGTGTGGAACCATGGGAAAAACATAGGTGTTGTTTCACATGACAAAGTCATCCAGGGAGCCTCTGAGGGTGTATTTTTCTTCTTGGTTTGTATTTATAACCAGGAGCAGTTTACCAGAAAGGCCTGACTACAAGGTAGCAATCACTGGAATAATCTGGCACTCCCCAGACACACACATTTTGAAATCCCAAGTACAATATGCCAAATCTGTGGAGTCCACAAGCCACAAGGCTCCTCCCATGAAGGTGGGTTTTGCACAGAAACCAGTGTCAATTATGTGCATTTTAAAGTGTCAACAAATTTGATTATTGGGGAAAACTCATTGGACAGAGAAGCAGTCTTTAATACAGAAATGAATAGGAGTCTTACATCAATACCAAACACTACTTTACCCTAACTCCATTACCCCTTCATGTTACGGTGTGCACGCGCCGCCATCTTACTTGTCATCTATGACCCCTAATCAGACAACACTCCATCTGTGGCTCCTGGAACTTGTAAACCTTTCAACCTTGAAAACAAGTAATCATTTTTGGTGGTTGGACCCATGTTACCAATAAAATGACATCTGACCTGATGTTGCCACCTGAAACAGTTTGATGCTTGGACCCCAAAAACATCTTTGTAGAGCTCTATGATACCATATTATTAAATCCTACCAACACTATAAACCTCTAAAACCTTTAGTGCTTGGATCCCAATAATTAAAATAAAACATAGGGCTCCTGAATTTCAATTAATAAAAAAAGCAAAGAACCAAAAAGAGAGCTCCAGCTCCAGTGCTTGGACCCCTTACAAAAGTAAGAAGTATATATTCAAGTACTTTAGGTATGAGGTTAAGCAGTTAACTTGTAGCATTGATCATCACTTTACAGGTAGACTGGTCACTACTTAAATGTCCTGTACAAATTACATTACTTTACGCTCCTCACACACTTTGCTAAAACAAGAAACGAAGGAAACAGACAAACTGGATGCATGCAAATAAAAACACAGAGCTTTGCTGATAGGCTAATAAACTCTAACTATAGCCATAGCACAAGACCTCATGTTGCAGGCATCAGTTGAAGGCAAGACGTAACAGTCGGCTAGCCACAAGCCACAATGGAATGGCCTGGACTTTCAGATTGACAAGGACTTTCAAGCAAAATAAAGGAGACAATATATAAGTGTGGTTACTGTGGGAGCTAGCTAAAACCACTAAGGCAGTGATGTCACCATTCTTGGGCTGGACATTTGAGACATTTGACATTTGAGTCTTTTCCTTCTTTACTGACTCAAAGGAAACAAATAAACCATGAAAATAGGCTAAAAGAACATAAATGAACATTTTCATACCATACCACCATATCGTTTATGGCAACTATATAACTTAATATCACTGTTTCAGCATATCACAGTATTTGCTAACATTTCCATATTAACTTCACCTTTCCTAAGAGAATAAATTATGCATAACACAGCAGCAAACGTATTAAAGTCACTCCAAATGTCATTGTACTCAAATGTCATTTTTGATTAAATTTTTTCATGGTAATTAATTTGAGCGCAAAGGTGGTGCAAAAATTGTCACTGCAATTGTTTTGCTATGTTCTGTCTAGAGAAAGATGAACGTCTCACTAGAAGATCTCAGTTTGAACTAAGCAAGTGTTGAGTCATCATATAAGCCTCAATATGCCATACACAATATGCAAACGCAGCCCATGCAATAATGTCTTTCATCTTCTGTCAAATGGCATTGTTTGTGGAAATGGCATGTCAAGCTTTTAATTATTCAGTATATAAAATGTTATGGTCTGTTAATACTATGGTCTAACACATGCACCTCTGAGACACATAACAGCCAGCCAATCACATCCTTTCGTCACAGGGCAGCGCAACACACTTGAAGGAAATCTGCCCTTTTCCACATACATGAACTCACAGACACCTGCAATTGGCTAGTGTCACTGTGATTGACAGGGGGGAGAGAATATGCCATCCCGCTCACAGAGACAGCACGGCCAATTTTGGCTCCCAGCCATGGATAGCTGTGGCATCATCAGGACCCAACACGTGATCTCCCAGCGACAGGCCGAAGGATTTTCTTCTGTGCCACTCGAAAGCATAACTAACATTTTTGCCCCGGTTTTGGTATAACCAGGTAGTTTTGCCCCGGTATAAGAGTAACCTGCTTCCTATAAATCTACAGTCTGGGCTAGAAAGAAATCAGCCCCAGCCTTGCTTCTTCATACCAATCTGTGTATTTTTCTCTGTGGTGCTGTTGCGCTTGGTTCAACAAAAGTGCAAAATTGAACCTTAAGTCATTTGTTAACAGCAAATAATCTGATATAAATGGCAAAAATGAAACCATATACTGATGTCTTTTTTTTTTTAGCTTTGAAAAACAGGTGTTGCTGAGCCCTGCTAGCCCATTTATACCCCGCCTAGAACTTCCACAAGATGCTGGTGGGAAAGCAATGCTTCTAATATGCTTTCCCTTTACCTGTTTTCTGATTACTGCAATGCTTTACAATCTATAGAGCAGAAGGGCTGTAATGATGAAATGTTAATACAGCTCTCCAGCATGGGTTAAGTGCATTTTCCACTCAAGCACTTTCACTTAAGTAAAAGGGCAGATGGAAAAGAGATTACTGCAAGCACACATGACGTGCCAATAAAAAAACTTGTTAAATTTTAGTTTTCCAATGTTATGTGACATAACAGCATGGAATGCGGTTTAAGAAAGGCTTGGGTTTGTCATACTTGCAGAACTGCTTTTGACACCCAACAAACTGTCTATCTGCTTTGTTTGGCGACACCTCCGTGAGTACAAACACAGCTGCAGCAGCACCATGTGACAAACAGCTGGTGACTAATCACCACAACTAGCAACCACATGCCACACTAGTTAGCCTTTCAGCTCATTTGAACTTGGATCAGACTCAGATATGGGCTCATGCACAACTGCATACCATATTAACTGAATAAAAGGACAGGACAGGACTGACAAAACAAGACAAATCTGCTAAATTCTTGAGCTACAAACCGAATGCTGAATCATAGCTTCTTAGCCTGTCAGACATGTCATGAATAGATATGCCAGAGGCATGACAACTGTGTTGCTTTATGAAACAAGAAATACCGGGCGCGCTAGAAACCCAGCCCAGTTATGAAGAGTAGTGTAAGGAATGAGGACGACTTTGATGGCCACACCGCTGGGAATGTCACTTTCTTAGGTGGCAAGCTGTAAAAGATACACACCTATAAAAAGGCAAGTGAAACATTAACTTACCTCTTCATCTGTCCATGATGAAGGATTAACCATATGAAGGTGCATCCATCAGAGCAACACAAGGGTATGAAGGCATGAGAGAGAGAGAAAGAGAGCAAAACATTAATTATAGTAAAAAGTATTCACCAGAACAAAAAAAAAATTGATTCTTATTTGAGAAAATAGCTAAAATATTTTCATAAGTCTATTGCTTTCAATTGTAGCTACTGTACCTACTTTCGACTGTATAATATAAATTGTACTGTACTTGTTGTACAAGTTGTACAAGTTGTATTGTACTTATTATATAATACAAATATATCAACAATCAGTTGATACTGTACAATTACGTTGGACTGATTGGAAGAAAAAAACAAACAAACAAAAAAAAAAAAAACAGTTGTTCATACCTCAGTATCTATTTTGAACTCCAGTGCCTGTGTGCGTGTTTGTGTTTGTGTTTGTGTGTGTGTGTGTGTGTGTGTGTGTGTGTGTGTGTGTGTGTGTGTGTGTTTGTGTGAGCAGGAAAAGAGGGAAAAAAGCGAAAGTGTAAAGCAATAAGAAAGTGACATCTTGCAATGACAGCAATCTATAAGCAATGCATAACCTGTAGACTTTGGAGGCCATGCAAAATAAAAACTTCATTCAAAATGAAATGGTGCACAATGGTTTAAAAACCAGGAAACTTTCGTTTAAGCCCTTCTGAATGTGAGACAAAAGGAGGACACTATAGACCAGGGGCTTGTCAACTGGCAGACCACTGAAAAAACTGGCCGTAGTCCTTTTTTTTTTTTTTCTTTAGACAGAAACCATCACAGCATATGTAGCAGAGCCTCTGTTTGACTAATCACATGTGGCTAAGAAAGACAAGAGTTTCATTAGCATTTTACGCTTTTTTAAATTCATTTACCCTCCGGACTGATTATTTAATTGATGATATGGCTTGCCAAAAAAAAAGGCAAAAACACAATACCAGAAAGTTTAAAGTGCCCCTAAAATATAAATTTGGTGTCCCATAGCTGCTTGTACCTGCCTCTTAGTGTTTTAGACAACACCATAATACTACATCTGAGAAGGAAAAAACAGTTTTGGAGATATTCTTTTTGTTGTGGTGGTTCTTCTTCTTTCGGCTGCTCCGCTTAGGGTTCATTACAGCGGATCATCAGTCTGCATATTTAATTTGGTCCAGTTTTTACATCGGATGCCCTTCCTGACGCAACCCTTCCCAATTTTATCCAGACTTGGACCCGGCACTGGGAGTGCACTGTCGTGTGCGGTTGGTTTCCTGGCTGGGAATCGAACCCAGGCCGCAGCGTTGAGGGCGCAAGGCCTAACCACTCCTCGTCCAGGGACTACAACTTCTGGTAAAATTGCCAAGAATTTTTGATGATTCATATCTATGAATATTTTTGTGATCATCCAATTAAATGGTCTCTAGAATGTACGTGTCCCACCCCTAGAGGCAGGGATTGCTCTACAGTAGTAGTGTGTTAGTAACAGTAGCAGGTGGTTAGCAGTAAACTTGGTTTGTCATTGCGTTTCTGGCTTTGCATCTTCCTTTCCAAATGTTCCATGATTGAGAAAAAAAATGGTTGGAGTTTATTTGTTTTGAAGAGGGTGCAGTTTGTATGAGGTGGTAAGTTATCTGCCAGGCACTTCTCAGAAGTGTTTTGCCAGCTCGGCACTCATCAATGTTGAAATACGTCACTTCTTCAGACTGAGTGAGAACAACATTCCATCTTTATATACCCTCAGGGCTTCTCCATCAGTAGGAGTAAGTAAAGGTTTCTCATTAAACTCTTCGCTGTTCTCCATATTTAGCTAGCTCTCTAAGCTACTGTCAGGTTTGTTTAGATTTGGAGGTGTGGCGTATCGCGAATGCTACTGGCTGCTGTGTACGTCAAGTCAAGCACTTCAACACACTGTCACTCTAACTCGCTGTTTCCGAAGTAGATATGTCAATATGCGGAATTAAATCACAGCTAAGAAGCCATTTCACTGGGGACTTTAAAGAAAATTGGACAGAGAAGTGTGCAGTTATTCAATGCTTCAAGTTTATAACATGTCTCATCTGTCCATGACAAGGGTCAAATTTGTTAGCATGATTCGTCGCTATGAAACAACACAGTAACTTCCAATTGCCTTAGGTGTAGCCATGAACTAATCATTAATGACTAAGCATTAAAAGGTAACTCAGACTCAGAACTTTGATTCACTTGAACAGGTAGTTCAAAAGAATCGGCTCATTAAAGCAGAACTATTCAAATATGTCTTGAAAGCATTCGGTCATCCTGTATCATCACCAGACCACTTATGGACTGTTTCATAAATATTAATTCATTTCTCCACTCCAACAACTAAAAACAAAGATCTGAGCATCAGGGCGGAGGAAACAACAGAGTAGGACATGGGATACCAAACTCCGACTGAGGAATGTGCACCACACTCCTTTCCAGCCTCTCCAACACTACTCCCTCACTCCCAACTGTTGTTTCAGCTGGACTTCAGAGAGACATGACATCTCAGACACTGTTCTGCCTTTTCTGTCCATAGTGGACACTTTCTTTTCTAATGTCCATTCTGCTTTTTCTAAATTTCAGGTATCACTTTAATGATTTGATTCATTTGAACTACCTGTTTAAGTGAACTGAAGTTCTGATTCATTGGATTTGCTAGGCTACAGTGTTGACCACCTCCATAGACCTCCAAAAAAAAAAAAAAAAAAAAAGGCACATTAAAGGTTGTGTTGCAACTCTTTTGGCATAAAATGGCAAATATTGCTAAAATCCACAGGTTCAATGGAGTTTATACCTTTGTGTGAATCACAATTTAATGATCTTTAAACCTTTTAATGAAGTACATGTGGTTTTATTCAGTTTGTATCATCATCACCAGACCACCATGAACATGAGAATCACAACTAAACTAATCATTATAAACAGTTCATAAGCTTCATTTGCAAATGAAAATCATAAGAACCTGCACATATTTTTGCGCATCCATGTCCACTGTGTGTGCTAAAGGAGACTGGTGGCGTTACACAATGGGGAAAACCAATGGCATGTTTATTTAAGAAATATATGCCAGATGATATTATGAGTAAAAATAATAGAATGCAGAAATTGTAGTGGAGGCCCAAGAATGAAGGAATAGTTTTGCCTTAAATATAGCAAATGAAGGAAACATTGCTACAAGAGCCCAGAAGCAAGCTCTGTGACATCCATGAATGTCTATTACTGTGCCAATCTGGCCTATAAAAATTGTTGTAATTGGTCCTCCCTGACTTGATCCCTAAAATGGTCTTGTATATGAAAATATTAATCTTTTCTAAGATGGTGAAATGACACATTAAAAAGTTGCATTCTGTCTGGAATCTATACACCCATTTAATGTTGGCAAAAACATCATAAATGCTCTTGAGGTTACTAGGCCCCATTATTAAGTCCTATTATTTAATGATGAAAAACTTTCTGTTTGTATGAACATCTATGCTTGTAGCCAGAATCATCATGGAAGTCATGTTGACCAACTATCACACCACAGTTGCACCACATGATTAAAACTCTCACACTTTCAGGATTTCTACCCTCACCCTTGACCTATCTTAAGTCATCCATAAACATCTCCACAGGTGGACCTCTCAGGAATTTGAGATATATAGGCATGACACAAACATTGGCCATCATAGTGGTCAAAAAGCAATTTGTCATTAAAGCAAGTAGTATCATTTTATTTTCATCAGAGGTTTGCTGGTCATATTGAAAAGGAAACTACTGTACAGGAAAATATCATTTATGGTTTCACCAGAGAGACTTCTGTGTTGTTTCAAAACCACTCATATTCTTGTATTATAAAGTTTTATACCAAGGCACTTTTCTTTGTTGCTAGGGAAATTTTTGGCAGGCAGGTGAAAAGCTCAGTAATATTTCAGAAGCTGTATGGAAATGAACAGTGAATGCCCAGTTTCTCAATGGCTTTAGTTCTGGAAATTTATCCATCATTCATTACCTCTTCAGACAAAATTTGCAAATAGGGAGTTTAAAATGTTGAACCAATCCAAACAGTTGGCTCAGAACCATCTAGCTATTTTTTTTTAAAGAAACAAAACTAAAAAAAAATGGAAAAAGGCAAAAGGTACAATATATGGCCAAAGGCATTTGGACACCTAACCATCAACACCTGTATGAGCTTGTTGGACGTCCCATTCCAAAACCATGGGCATTAATATGGATTTTCCCCATCCCTAAAACCCCCACACCAACCTCATCAAACCATGTCTCTATGGATCTTGCATTGTGCAAAGGGACACAGTCATGCTGAAACAGGACAGGACCTGCCCCAAACTGTTGCCATAAAGTTGGAAGCTTGCAAATGGTTAAATTGTCTTTGCTGTAGCATTACCATTATCTTTCACTAAAACTTTGGGGCCCAATCCCCGAAAAAAAAAAAATCCCCAGACCATTATCCCTCCTCCACTAAACTTTACAGTTGGCACTATGCATTCCAGTAGGTAGCGTTCTCCTGGCATCCACAAACCCAGGTTCATCCATCAGACTGCCAGATAGTGAAGCGTGATATATCACTCCAGAGAACACATTTCCACTACTTCAGAGTCCAGTGACAGAGTGCTTTATACCACTCCAGCCGACACTTCGCATAGTGATCTTAGACCTGTGTGCAGTTACTAGGCCATGAAAACCCATTTCATGAGGCTCCTGACACACAGTTCTTGTGCTGATGTTGCTTCCAGAGGCAGTTTGGAACTCTCTAGTGAGTGATGCAAAAGAGGATAGGCGCTTAGACACTCGGCAGACCCACTCTTGGAGTTTGTGTGTTCTGCAGCTCAATGGCTAAGCTGTTGTTACTCATAGACACTTCCGTTTCACAATAATAGCACTTACAGTTGACCAGGGCAAAAATTTCACAAACTGACTTGTGGCAAAGGTGGCCACGTTTCAAGTCACTGAGCTGTTCGGTATGACACATTCTACTGCCAATGTTGTTTGTTGCATTTTGTTAACAGTTGCGTAAAGTGGCCTCTTCATATTGAAGCTGGTGAAATAAAAGGTGAACATCTGGCAAACATTCATTAATTTGTCTTTATCCTGGTCAAGGTCACAATGGATCTGGAGTCTATCTCTGGAACACTGGGCATGAGACTGACGTACACCCTGAATGGGATGCCAGTCCCTTGCACACTCTTGTCACCCATCCGTCAAACAGGTTGTAAGAAATGGTACAGGACTTTTACCACTTCACTTGAACAGTACTATTTCGACATTGCACCTACACTAAGAGGAAGTCCTGATTAGAGGTATCTCTATTTATTTTGAACCAGAGTGTGTTTGAAAAATGCCATTGCGGAGGCATATTTTGAATGTCACACACCCTGTTGTGACATTTCACCCATGTTGGCGCAGATGCCTTCATTTCTGGCCACAAAAATAGCAGCTGGATGAGAACAGGAAAAAAAATTGGCATGACCGAATGAGAAACACAGCATCGTACCACGGAGTTCTACGAATATGAAAATAGCCAGATGTCCTTTATAAGGGAGTTAAGTATGGATCGGATAAAGCAATACAAATGAAATCAATTCGGTTTCCGTCTACTCTTGATAAACTTCTCCGCCATTATTTTCTTCAACGTTACTGCTTGCATATTGGTAGTCCTGTGGTGGTCTCATTGATGGACAGGTTCAAGGGAAGCTGAAATCCAGCTAACTTTTAGCTTTTAGAGAACGTAAGTATTGATAATCAAATTTGCTATTGTGATCACAAATGACATTACTTCAGAAACCTCAGTATTCACCCATGTTATCCATTCATTTAAACGTGGCAAACAAATGCCATTATTTATACAGGTTACAGGTTATACAACGATCCTGATTTATGAAAGATTTCTGAACATAGGAGCATTGTTAACATATTACAGAGGATGAACTCACTGCAAGACCTTGCTTAGCAGTACAGACAGCATCCTGAGTGAGCACTGGTGTCCAGCCAAATAGTCAATGCAGTGACATGTAGTTCAAAGAGCACTCTTAATGCCTCTCAGGCTTGCCAAACGGAGTATTTTTGCCATTATCTGATGAGCTGCAGTCAACGGCACTCCTCCTAGACACAAGACAAAGCGCTGTGACAGGTGACGCACCTTTACCTCTAAAGAGTGCATGTCATCTTGACAAAATTGCTATCCGTCATCAGCGAAACTGCTTTTTCACACCTCTCAGAGGTATGCAGTTGGATCCTGACACAGGACATTTAACTTCGTTCAAGTGTCCAATTTCTTGCGTCATATAGCTCCATTTTACTCTTGAGTGTCAGTTGGAAGAATGACATGGAAGTCAGGA